CTTCTCAGGAGCAGGAGGAAGAGGAGGAGGAGACATTCTGCACACGTTCAGAGATACTCTCCTTTATTTCACACATTCTGTGGCGGATCCCTGGTGGCAGCCTTACATGATTTCCAAAAACGGAGGTTCTGATGAAGGCAACATGTCGGGACAGCAGGTACCTTCGATGGCCGAGTAGGCGAGAGCAGCAGTGATTATGCTGTCTCCGAGCAGGTGCAGAGTGCTTTCCCTCCCCAAGTCTCTCCTTCACAACTCATCACATGGTCCCATGTTCATCCCCAGTCCTGGAAATCAGTTCTAGGGCTTAAGCCCAGTTCTATACTTGAATTAGCCCATAGATGGCACTGAAAATAGTTTCTGGATAACGAGGCCAAGATCTGATCTAAGGCCTGTCCTGGTTACAGGGTTTTTTTTTTGTCACTGGAATGAGTTTGAGTTCTCCCACCCTCTGAAACGGAGGCAAGCTAGTACACAGCAGAGTTTGCACAGGAAAGAGCTCTGACCAATGTTCCCTCTAAGCTAAGAATTTTGCGAGCAAAAATTCTACTTTGTGAGCTACCGGTATTAAGGTTGTGAGCGAGCAATTTGGCTGCTGCATAAATTAGTTTGCTCTGGAGCCATACTTCCTGAGCTAAGACAAAAATATGTGAGCTGGAGGCTAAAAAACTGTGAGCTAGCTCACACTAACTCAGCTTAGAGGGAACACTGGCTCTGACCCACATGGCATTATCCAGCAGAAAGTTCTCCTCTGCAAGCCTCCCCTTGTAAGGAACAGAAACTAGGCTGGTGCTCATTCAGGGCCGGTTCTGGGGTTTGGAGTATCCGGGCAGAGAGTGTCCAGGGCCTCCCTCTCCTCCCTTGACCACCACCAGGACCCCTTACTTACGCCGTCCTTCCATCCCCGCCTCCCTGTGTCCTTCCTTCCCCTGCCTACTTGTGAGCCTTCCCACAGAGCATATGTCCTTCCCCCCAACAGTGCAGATAGCAACACCATCACTGTACCCACCAAGAGTGCCACCATTGTACAACATCTGCTTGTCTTTCCCTGGAGCGTGCATGAGGGCTCAGTGGCAGTGGGTCCTGCCAGAAACTCTGGGCCCTGGCAGCTGCCCCAACTCGGGGTGTGCCAGCGCCGCCCTGAGCTCATCCGTTGGAACAAGGCGAATTTCCTGGCGGACCGCACTTCTATGTTTGTCGACTGAAGGGAGAGAAATTCCCGTTTGGACTCTCCACAGCTCCTCAGATATCTCAGCAACAGAGAACGGTTGTGACCAAAACAGCTCCGACACTGAAAATGCGCAAGACACCATTATAAAAATACCCCCTTCCAGGTCCGGCGTGAGCATCTGAAATGTCTCTTGACAGAGACCTCATTTTCTGCCTGGCATGACATTCCCATTCATTTCAGGTCTGTAGGCGGAGCCACACAGGGCTTCGCACGCCTAATCTCTCTAGCCGATATCATCGGCAAATAGAAACACTCCCCATCCAAAAGAGAAGGCTCTGGTTTTTGACAATAAATAAAGTAGATCAAGGAACAACAAACAAAAAAATATATCGTCGCTATTGGAACTTTAAATATATTCCTTTTGGTGATAGAAAAAAGTGCCCCCCCCCAGTTTCCTCTCGCAGTGCCTCCCCGCGTGCGTCGGCCAAAGCCCTCTCTCTGCACTTGGTCTCTGGGCGCGCCTGCCTCCTCCGGCTCCGGGCCCAAAGGCAGCTCCCGTCTCCCCACGTCATCGACAGGTGTGCATTTCCACCAGGCGATGGCACTGTTTACACTTCACAAAGCAGCACCAGTGGAATTTGCAGCTACACCTCTCCACCACCTCCACCTCGTCCGTGTGGAAGCCCCGGCCGCAGCACATCAGCTCGCAGCCGTCGATGGCCTTGGAGGTCTTGTTGCAGTGCCTCCCGCTGGTGCCCAGGACACCGTTCTTTAAGTCATGGTCACAGAAGTCCGGGCTGGAGTCCAGATAGACCAGATCCTCGTCTGTGTGCGGCTTGAACTGGGAATTTTTGGGCACCAGCACTTTGGTGGAGCCAATCTTCCGCTGCTCGACCTCGGTGGCCCCGTCAAATTTCTCCTTCAGCACGTTGCCCACTTTGCGGAAGGGGGGCATGGCTTTCCAGCAGGTCTTCACCTCGCACGACCCCGACACCCCGTGGCACTTGCATTCCACCCGCATGTTGTTGAGGATGGCCTGGGAGGGGGGAGAAAAGAAGGCACAGAGCTGTTGGAGGTCCTGATGAAAAGAATCAAGGAGGATATCCTTCTTGAAGAGGGAGCACAGAGATGCATCAGACGCAGTACAGTTGGGGGGGAGGTATTTGTGAATTTCCTGCATTGTGCAGGGGGTTGGACTAGATGACCCTAGAGATCCCTTCCAACTCTATGATTCTATGATTCTGTGCATAATCCAATTCAAAGATCTTGTAATTGTATATAGACACTTATCAACAATAAAGCATGCTAGTACTTCAATGGCTATAAAATAAAATTTCAAATTGACGTCTGTAGCTGTAAGACCTGAAGAAGATATGTGAAATGGGATTTTTTTCCTACCGGTCCCGGTAGTCTTCCATGCCTCAGTTCATCTCAGCGTCTTGTTCAGTCCTGTGTACTTTAACATATGAATTGGTGTAGCCCATGAGTTGGGCTTGTATATATGCTGTATGTTTTGTTCCTTGTACACTAGTTATATTGTGCAAAGTATTAGGTTGTTACAGCCTTTGTTTAAGCCTAAGATTGA